CCTGAGCCCCAACCATGGTGGGGCTGAGGTGGTTGTCAAATCACGGCTTTGAAGTATATAAGTACATACGGTACTCGAAACAATGTTTATAAGATTTCTATGGTTGCCGAAAATCTCTGATAAAAGATCATGAGAAATCTGTTGGCGCTTCATTTTGAGTATATGTATAATGCCGTAGCTATTGGCACAGTTGGACAGTCCCACACAATTTTTCTATTGGGTCCACAAAAAAAATAGGTCTAAATTATGCTGTTTTAGCACAAAGTGAGTCCTTTTTTCGAAAAATAGGTCCTGATTTCTCATATTTTGAGTAAAATCGGTCAACTTTTAAGAAAATTGGTACAGATTTTTCATATTTTTTCATAAAATGGGTCCACTTTTAAGAAAATGAGTCCAAATTATTTGAATTTAAGAGTAAAGTGGGTCCACAATGATATTGTTCTGCACTGTTTGAAAATCCTGGCTACGGCATTTTATATAACGGTGTGTGATGATAATGAAATTTACAAAAAATGTCACCTTTCAAAACAGATTGCGCCCTTCCTGGGTAAGACATTAAACTACATCGAGTCGACACCGAACTCAGAGTAGATTGCGCCCTTCCTGGGTAAGACATTAAGCTACATCGAGTCGACACCCGACTCAGAGTATGTCTTAGTGATTACTGACGAGGTGGGAGAGCATAACATTGTTTTTAGGATGTGATCTGGTTTTACATGCCCATTTTTCGTGATTATGACTATTTTGGATAAAGAATGTTTTGAGCAGTGGTGGATTGAAGGCCGCTCTCCCTAAATTTTTTTAATGGAAAAAAAAGAAAAATATAGCCCATGTCAACAACCCCAGTCCCAGGATTGTTTGGATTATTGACTTGCTAAAAAGAAAATCTTATGAGGGGGGCGCTTATTCAAACGGGGCGCTTAAGGAATTTTTCACGTTAGGAGGGGCGGTTATTCGAGAAGGGCGGTGATTCAAACGGGGCGCTTATTCGTGCGAGTACGGTATTTCCATACGCGCCCCCTCAATTTCCACTCTGTTTTCATAAGCGCCCCTCAAAAAGTGCTAAAAAAATATTTTAAAGATGTCGCGGTGCTGTTGTTGTAGGTTCTTAGAATAATACAAATGTTATTTACTTTCATATGTGAATATTAAACTGTTGCTAAATTATAACATACCATACTTAAAAGGCATAAAACCATGGAATGAGCATTTTTTTTTCTATTTTTATTCTATTTTTATAACATTTATCATATATAACATAATAAAGAGTTAACAACGAAACATTTAGTTATTATTAATGAGTTTTAGCATAATAAGCACATTTATAAGTTAATAACCTACCCTCAGTTGTCACGGATGTAGTGGTCGATGGTTTTGTAGGTGCTGAGAAGTGTAAACAATGGAATTTACTGCATATGTAAATATTAGACTGGAGCTCATGTATTATAACAAATTTCAAAGCAATATAATAATGTATTCAAAAATATTTAGACATTATTAATAACATAATTCAAATGTATAAATCAACGAAAATCGAAATTTTTAGTTGTTATTGATAACTTTTAGCATTTATAACATAATAATGAGTTAAGAACGTAATTTTAAAGCATAACATAATTCAAAGGTATAAATAAAAAAAATCGAAATTTGTAGTTGTTATTGATAACTTTTAGCATTTAAAACATAATAATGAGTTAAGAACGTACCCTCAGTTGTCACCGATGTAGTTGGCGATAGTGTTGTAGGTGCTGAGAAGTGTAAAAAATGGGATTTACTGCATATGTATAGGCCTATATTAGACTGGAGCTCATGTATTATAACACATTTCAAAGCAATATAATAATGAAATCAAAAATATTTAGATATTATCAATAACATTAAACATATAGCATGTAAGTACTGGAAGTTATAAAAACATGCAAATTACTGGTAATGTTTCGATTAAACAGTAGCTAATTTATTTTAACCTATTTTTTAGGTATAAAACAATGAAATTCAACTTTTAGTTGATATTAATAAATATTAGCATAAATAACTTATTAATAATATCCTTGCGAACAGATATCTTGCGAACAAAAAAGGGGAGAAAGAAAGAAGAATAAGAAAATCTAGATTTGAACTCGTCACTGAGGACGAGTTTGGTGATCCGCCGAACTTTGACCTTCAGGAAGCGCGAGTGGTGCGGGTTAAAATGTTTTTAAATGCTCAAAATGGTCTAAAATATGCTCTAGTTAGTTTTTTTAAAAAGTGTAATAATAAACATTTGAAAAGATTTACGCGTGCATACGTGGACGTCTTGATACCTGTGCAAATGTTAATGGCTCAAAAATTTTACTTGTGAGCCGGGGTTTATCAATCTCAGTTTAGCAAATGTCTTAAGTCAAAAAAGTTAAGATTTTCCTAACAAATATCTTAAGCTGATTTATTACCCAATCTCAGCAAAATCTTGGCTTAAAAATCGTCTTAGATTGTGCCCACGTACAATCTTTCTAATTTTAAGTAATTTTTAAGCTAAGCAATATTAATAAATTTCACTTAAGCAAAAAAAATGTACTTAAGACGAATTTAAGCTGAATTCTAGTTTGATAAATGTGGCGCGCCTGTTATGAATACAGTGTCAGGAACCCAAAACATGTATCAAAAAGTAATTCTTAGCTTCAGTACGTGCAGTGCGCGTGGAAATGAGCGTACGGTGCGTAAATAAAAAGTAAATACAGAAAGTTTTGGGATACTGAAAATGACCTGAAACGTGATATTGAGAATTTCCTAATTTTACCGTACAGGCACGTCACAACGTAGTTGTGGACGGTAATGGCACAAGAAATTGACGATCAATCAAGAATAAGCGAGATACGTTCAAACGAGTATAACAATAATGACGTCATAATAATTCAAATGGCAATATGATGACGTCACAATGTCCAATCAGCCATTATAATCTATAAAATCATATCTACATCTCATGTGCTTTCAGAATATGTAATGAAAATTCGGGTTACCTTTCATCCTAAGGAGCTATAACTGATTAAAAATATTTTTTAAGCAAATATAATTTTTGACGCACGCACACTAAAAAGCGCGAACAAAAAATTAAGGTACATGACATTCAACCTTTACCTGAAGATTATGCTCACTTATGATTCAGAAATGACGAATGGTTAAGATGATATAGGCTCATCAACGTTTTCAGAAAAGAAAGATGTGGGGGTTCAGAAAAAACAATTTTTCTAAAAAAATACTGACTTCATCAAAATGTAAAACGAAGTCATATATGAAAGATAATTGTCTCAGCTATAACATAATCAAAGTTGGAAGACGACCGATCAAGGATAAGCGAGATACGCTCAAATGAGTATTTTCAAAAATGACGTCATAGCTAAAATTCACTTTCTTTAAAAATTCAGATGGCAATATGATGTCCGATCAGCCATTATGATCTATAAAATCATATTTACAACTATGTGCTTTCAGAAAATGTAATAAAAATTGGGGGTCACCTTTCATCCTAAGGAGCTATAACTGATTAACAATAAGCCTGATTTTAGCATATTTTCACTGTATATCGGCACAAATTCGCGCAAAGATACCTATGTTTGATGCGCACGTACGACATTGCTATTGGCCATAAGATGACCGAAAAGAATGGAAATTTGTGAAAACAATGTCAGGAACTCAGACTATGTGAAAAAACGTAATGTCTAGCTTCCGTACGTGCTGCACGCGTAAAAATGCGCGCCCGTAGTGGAAAATTTCAAAAAACTTTTAAATGCTCAAGATGGCCTGAAACGTGCTCTAAAGTAGTCAAAAAGTGATTTCAAGCATTTTAAAATGTTGGTACTGTACATTCAACATTAACCCGAAGTTAATGCTCACTTAATACGATTTCGAAAGGGCAATTGGTTAGACTGATATGATCGATAATGTAAAAACGCAAAATTGCGCGTAGCTGACGTCACGCATGACGGGTCACCTTGAAAATCTTACCGTGACTATTCCATATATAACACAATAATGAGTTAAGCACGTACCCTCAGTTGTCACTGATGTAGTGGGCGATAGTGTTGTAGGTGCCGAGAAGTGTAAACATTGTGATTTACTGCATATGTAAATATTAGACTCTAACTCATGTATTATAACACATTTCAAAGCAATCAATAACAATGGACCTACAACTTTAGGACAATAGAGCAATTTCATTAAAACGGACAATTTATTCATACATATACCAGTACAATTAAAATTAATTATTATAATTATGGTTAGAAAGGCGATGAAAGTTCCTTAATAAGTTGCTCAAAATGTGTCTCAATATAAAAGTTGATTGAATTTTGTTCTTACTTTGAGACTGTTGTAGGCCTATTTGTTGTGATACAATAGAAGAAAATAAGTGTCCCCTTAATAGGGGTTATTTAACCATTTGTTACACTCAGAAAGTGTCCCCATCCCCTTAATAGGGGTGTCCCCTTAATAGGGGTTGGCTGCAGTGTTAAAAGAACTTGATCCTTATCGATAGAATTATATTTTTTTAATTTAATGATTTACGTTATGTTCGTCCATTGATTGAATAAATGTATATGAAATGAAAAAAATGAAAAAGATATACCGGTATCGCCCCTCGTTTCAATTAAAAGTATCCCTTAATAGGGATGTCCTCTAAATAGGGGTGTCCTAAAGGAGGGGTTCTACTGTATTAATGATTTTATATAATTGCTATGGATTTATAGATGGATTTAATCTGAAATAAACGAACCTGTTGTTTGCATTGGAACTGTCGTACCACCTGTAAAAACAAAACATTATTCATAATATTAAAACAGTATATGATGCAAATATTATATTATATGATGCAAATACGGCATTCATTTTTGTATGCATTTTTAGTGCGTAATTCTTTTATCATTGTTTCTATATGTATCTTTTTTAGCTGTTTCTCAAACATTTTTTTTAAATTTTTATTTGAAAGGATTTTTTTTTACGTAACCAAATACTGATTTTATTATAATAATAAATAATTACAAATTAAATTTGTAAAGTAGTCAATAATGTTTTTAATAATGATTATATAGAAAAATGTTTGTAATGGAAATAGTATAACATTTATAATGTAATTGATCTATATTAAACTAATTATATTTTTAGTATACAATATTCTAAGTATTTTTCATCAAACAAACCATATTTTTGTAAACAAACCTGTCATTTATTTGTTATAGAGATTATAAAATTTTGAACTTTTGTAAACATTTATAGCTTGATATTCTTAAAATTTCAATTTTTTTTCAAGATTTCAAATAAAGTGATTTTAATTTGAGTCTTGTTAAAAGTAAAAAGATGGAGATTAGTAAGTGAATGTTTTAAGCTAAACAATACATGCGAGTTTCAGAGTAGAAATGACATACATTTGCCGTGATGCTTTCCCAAGTTAAGTTGCGGTGATGTTCTATTTTAAATTTGCCTGACATTTTATTTTATTTGCAGTGACACTTGAACCACCGTACTTTGAGCCTATTTTTTCTTTTCTAAGTATAGTGCTCCTTCCAATTATAAACCAACTCCAATTCCGAGATCCCTTTAATTCAAGCCCATTTTTTTCAATTTTTTAACACAAAGCTAAACCTCTAATTGGAGATTAAACCCTAAGGCGACACCAAATTTGCAAGTCTCAAATTAATGTGGTCTCAATTTGGAGTGCTAACTGTATTTGAACCATTTGTTTTAAAGACTATTCAGTGGCCCCTTTACAAGAACAGGTCCTTAAAGACTAGGAAAAACGATTTGTACCTTTGAAAAATCTCAAATAAATAACATACAATTTTGTACCATTTGACACATTTCAAACACTAATGAATGAAATCATACTAATTTTGAGATAATGTTCGTACATACCAATATAATGGATAGTCAATGGATCTACCGCGAGCGTTACATCATCTTCTGTGACAAGAACTCCATTGACAGCTGCATTTCTGAGTATAGATTCAACGTCGTTACCAGTTACAGTTAGATCTGAAACACTAAGTTCAATGTCTGCCATAATACTCCCGTTACGGAATTGGATTATCCGACATTCCAATACATCCGGGACGACAGAGAATATCTTTGAAATTAAGAAAACAAAAAATTAAAATCTAGAATGCATACTTTAATGCAAACGATAATAAATAGTAAGAAGATATCAGTATAACAGTACTATATTTCCTTTAGGTTGTAAAAGTGTCACAATTTGTTCCCATGTACTTTTACATACTTGCATAAAGCATCCGATCCGATTTATAAAATCCGATCAAAATGATAAAATAAACAAATTTTCCACTGGAAAAAATGTAAATAGTAAAAGATGAGCTTTGCGCCTACTCGATTGTGGAATGTTATGGGAAAGGAGGCTCGGTTCCAGTAGATACAGAGAATATTTTGCCATTCTTAACACGTCATACGAAACTCTTACAAGGCAGCACTAGTCGGCGGCTCGTGGACAAGATCGGGGATCTAAGAGATACGGTACATACTCTTCAGTGCATCAATGGCGGCCCGCTAGATTTTAAAAGAGATTTCTCAACAATATATATTTTAAAAGGTAATTGGGATAAACCAATAAAAACAAAAAACTGCCACATATTGCAAACAATTTAAAATTTAAACGGAACAGTAGAGAAAATCAGATCAGAATGACAAAATACACTAAATATCCACTTGAAAAAAATTCCAATATCTCCATAGAGATTCGTTTTTGCCCTACGGGCTACACTGTTCGGCTTTAAAATTATATATACATAACAATAACTCATTCAGAATCACTTACAGCAGAGCACGAGTAATTCTGGTATAGTTGGAAAAGGTCAGTTAATTCATTTAATAAATCACTTGTATACAACACGGCGACACCGTTCACCTCATCAATCGTCAATGTTATCTTGATAACATTGATATTTGTTGCTGTAACTAAAGAAAAAAAAAACGTCTTAAATACAATCATGAAAAGTGCGTAACATTCTGATAATGAGA